GAAAACTATACACTTCTGAAGAAAGAGATTGAGGAAGTCTATAGAAAGTGGAGAGATCTCCCATGCTCATGGATTGGTAGAATCAACATAGTAAAAATGTCGATACTCCCAAAAGTAATCTACATGTTTAATGCAATTCCCATCAAAATTCCAATGACATTCATTAAAGAGATTGAAATATCTACCGTGAAATTTATATGGAAACACAGGAAGCCACAAATAGCCAAGGCAATACTCAGTCAAAAGAACAATGCAGGAGGTATCACGATACCTGACTTCAAACTATATTACAAAGCAATAACAATAAAAACAGCATGGTACTGGCACAAAAACAGACATGAAGACCAGTGGAACAGAATAGAGGACCCAGATATGAAGCCACACAACTATAACCAACTTGTCTTTGACAAAGGAGCTAAAAATATACGATGGAGAAATAGCAGCCTCTTCAACAAAAACTGCGGGGAAAACTGGTTAGCAGTCTGCAAAAAACTGAAACTAGATCCATGTATATCACCCTATACCAAGATTAACTCAAAATGGATCAAGGATCTTAATATCAGACCACAAACTCTAAAGTTGATACAGGAAACAGTAGGAAATACTCTGGAATTAGTAGGTATAGGTAAGAACTTTCTCAACGAAACCCCAGCAGCACAGCAACTAAGAGACAGCATAGATAAATGGGACCTCATAAAACTAAAAAGCTTCTGTTCATCAAAAGAAATGGTCTCTAAACTAAAGAGAACACCCACAGAGTGGGAGAAAATATTTGCCAACTATACATCAGACAAAGGACTGATAACCAGAACATATAGGGAACTTAAAAAACTAAATTCTCCCAAAACTAATGCACCAATAAAGAAATGGGCAAGTGAACTAAACAGAACTTTCTCAAAAGAAGAAATTCAAATGGCCAAAAAACTCATGAAAAAATGCTCACCATCTCTAGCAATAAAGGAAATGCAAATTAAAACCACGCTAAGATTCCACCTCACCCCTGTTAGAATACCCATCATCAGCAACACCACCACCAACAGGTGTTGGCGAGGATGCAGGGGAAAAAGGAACCCTCTTACACTGTTGGTGGGAATGTAGACTAGTACAACCACTCTGGAAAAAAATTTGGAGGCTACTTAAAAAGCTAGACATCGATCTACCATTTGATCCAGCAATACCACTCTTGGGGATATACCCAAAAGACTGTGACACAGGTTACTCCAGAGGCACCTGCACACCCATGTTTATTGCGGCACTATTCACAATAGCCAAGTTATGGAAACAGCCAAGATGCCCCACTACTGACGAATGGATTAAAAAAATGTGGTATCTATACACAATGGAATTTTATGCAGCCATGAAGAAGAACAATATGTTATCATTCGCTGGTAAACGGATGGAATTGGAGAACATCATTCTGAGTGAGGTTGGCCTGGCCCAAAAGACCAAAAATCATATGTTCTCCCTCATATGTAGACATTAGATCAAGGGCAAACACAACAAGGGGATTGGACTTTGAGCACGTGATAAAAGCCAGAGCACACAAGGGAGGTGTGAGGATAGTTAAGACACCTAAAACACTAGCTAGCATTTGTTGCCCTTAATGCAGAGAAACTAAAGCAGATACCTTAAAAGCAACTGAGGCCAATAGGAAAACAGAAACTACAGAAAAGGTTAGATCAAAAAGAATTAACCTAGAAGGTAACACACACACACAGGAAATCAATGTGAGTTAATGCCCTGTATAGCTATCCTTATCTCAACCAGCAAAAACCCTTGTTCCTTCCTATTATTGCTTATACTCTCTCTACAACAAAATTAGAAATAAGGGCAAAATAGTTTCTGCTGGGTATTGAGGGATTGGGGGGGAGAGGGAGGGGGCGGAGTGGGTGGTAAGGGAGGGGGTGGGGGCAGGGGGGAGAAATGACCCAAGCCTTGTATGCACATATGAATAATAAAATTAAAAAAAAAAAAAAGTTACTTTGAACTTTTAATGCTTAAAACACTCAAAACAAAGAGGAGAAAAGAAAAACAACAAACAGGAATAGTGATAAAATGTGGCCTTTTTCTAATTTCAGTCTAAAATAAACATTTTGAAAAAACAAAAAAAGAAATTACCATTTGTCAGGTCTTGGTATAAAATTAGCCGAGAATATCTGTAATTATAAAAAAGGATATTAAAATATCCTTTTAATATTTTAATAAAATTACATAAATTTTATGTATTTCTAAATACATATCTGTAAAAGTCAGATCATCCAGTTCTTCAATTAAAACAACAGACGGTTGCAGACAGAATGAAGGCGCATATATGACAACCCTGTTGTCCTTCATGCAGCTAGCCATTAGAGACTTACAAAAACATAAAAGCAGTACTACTTTTCTTGTTATCTTAATGAATGTAGTATTTCTCATGAAACATGTTTGTTAGAATGAGTTTAGAGTAGGTACTTCTAAACGAATTAATAAATGCGTTCAATGGTTTTTTTTTATCTATATTCTTCTCTTTCTATTCCCTCTCTGAGTTAGGTATTATAAACAGATGTGATCATCATTTATTCAGGGTGATGAGAGTGTCGTATTTGTCTTAGAAACCTGTGCGGGGGGTGGGAGACAAAAGGGAAAGGAGGACATAAACCATGAGAGCTTCTGGGAAAAGGCAGTACTCTCGTGTAGATGATCAACATATTTTTTTTACTGGGATTCCTGTCTCCCAAATTCCTGTCTTCAGTACTGAGCTCCCTCCCTAACTCTCACCCCACACCATCACTCACTTCAAAAATATTTATTTAATATCAGCAATGCTGTTAAGCATCGTCTAAGCAATGGCTATGACATGTCCCCTTGGATATCCCATAGGCTCCGTAAATTCAGAGCCTCCCATGCTAATCATGTCTTCTCTCTCAACGGTCCCTGTCACGTGCTATCATGGCAGTGATGGGTGCCATCAGCCACCCTGAGTTCAGGCCAAACAGCTGGGCGTTGTCCTTGCCTCTCTCCTGTTCCTTCATCCACTGAACTCTCAAGTCCTGGAGAGTCAATCTTTTTTTATAGCCACCCAAATTCAAGCTTCCTTCATCCCTCACCTAAATTAGTATAACACCCTTGGAACTGGTGAACTCTTTAGTCCTTCCCTGCTTTTTTCTCACCTGTCCTCTACACTGCCTGGGGACAGGCAGTCAAGTCTATAGTCAGCATGCTTTACAAAGGCTAGAGTTGAATTTTTCGTCACCATTTTATAGATGAGGAAAACAAGGCTCTGAAAGTTAAATAACTTGCCTGAGCCCAAGTGCTAGTTTTTAAAGGCAAATCTTTAAACTGGTTTGCCCTGCTTAGTTAACTTCAAAGAGGGTTAACTCTCAGGACAAAACACAAGGCATACAAGGAAGCACAGGTGCTTCAGACCAAGGTGTCCAGCCTCCCTTGGTTCTCTACTCCCATATCTCCAGGCTTTTGTTCACACAGGCTATTCCTTTCCTGGACTATACTCCCCTTAACTGACTCTTCTTGGCTCTGTCTTCCCTCAGGAAACTTTCCCTGTCTGGGGAGGTACCCCTTGGATAGGAACTGACAGCCAGTACTCCTTCCTTCTAACAGTGGGAAAACTGATGATGCTGTTTTTCTTTGTCTTTCTTTCTTTTTTTTTGCTTATATTCCCTCACTCCCTCGAGGAGCTTGTTTCTCACTTGCAGAGATCTGGATTCATGTGCCACACTCTGCATTTCACGTGGAGATCACCTCCCTTCCTAAATTTTGTTGCAATTTGCATCCACTACAGTTTACTTTCAGTGTGGTAAAGTTCTAGGTCATTCAGCCAGTGTTCCAGTATCACAGGATCGTCACAGTGCCCTGCAAACTCCCCTGTGCTCCATCTCTCCAACACTCCCACCAGCCCGGTCCTGTGGTTTCACTGCCTCTTTACTTGGCTAGAACTCTGTCTTAGGTTCAGGGTTAGTACTGTTTAACATGGAGTCCCCAACCTGAAATGAAATGCCCAGCACTCTGATAGGACACGCTACAAAAATCCATTGAATGCAAGAACTAGAAACTCTTCTGTTGCATGCACAGGTTCAACCTTGAACCCGAACAGCAATGGTGTCAGTAAATAGTTAGCTTGAACACCTTGGAGACCCTCTCTAAAGTTCAGTTTGGTTCTGAGCCTCTCTTCTGCCATCTCGTCCCAGATAGCACATACTTATCTGAATGAGTGTAGCCTGTTGATGACTAAGTGTTAGCATGCCTGCTGGATTCAGAAGGAAAAACAATGGTGACACAAGAAATGAAAGAGGGGCCCGATCCTCCACTTGTGGAAGGTGTTTTGTGGGGTGCAGAGAAGAAAGGGAGCTGAGAAGCCTCAAAAGCTTGAGTTGGGAGCCTGCATTTAGGCCAACATAGCACGGAGTAGTTTTAATGCCCAATGCACTCTGTGGCTTGCCAACGCAGCCTGGGCTAGGAACTTGGCCCTGAACGTCTAGGCCCTGCTTGGAAATCTGCCTGACTGGCTGCTGTGACCTCAGAAGGGGCTGGGAGAACTCCAAAGCCGTGGGTGGAGGGAGAAGTTCCTAATAAGTGAAGTGCCAGGGCCCAAACAAAGGCTTTCTCTGTGCAGCTGTCTGGGCACCTGTGCCTGCACAGGGCCCTCTGTGCTTCTGTCCTTCTGCACACAAAGATGTACACACACAGGCGGGACATATAAATACCCTCCAGAGCAGAAGTGAAATCACCCACCAGTTCTCCTTTTCTCTGCTTAGCTGGAGCCCAGCAGCTACAGGCAGCTGCTACAAACTCAGTCTCCAGTACTGTAGTGGTGACCTGCTCATATTATTTTATGGTTGGGAAGTTTTTGGCAAACATCCTCTTTAGAATAAAATGGGACTCAGAGTGACTCTCAGGGGCTAAATTTACAGCTTTAAAACATCAAGTGAAAGAAAAGAGAAAGCAAGGGAAAAGGCAAGACAGTCCAACATTCACAGAAATGGAACCTCACGTGAGCATTTTACCTGTACGTAGAACGTCCTGGAGCTGGTTATTATTTCAAACAGGTTGTCCCTCATTAAGAGATCACTAGACGGAGAAAGAGAAAGTTCATTACAGGCATGCTGGTGCGTACCCTGGATGCTTAATTGCTCCCAAGCCTAGGCACCGGTGCCTTCTACCACAAAAAGGAAGTCATTCCCCCTTCAGCTCCTCCCTCAGAAACCCAGGGATCCTCCAAGGTCACCTCCTAGAGAGTCTCAGAAGATTTGTGCCATCCTGATTGACCCCACCACCTCTACCTCTACTTCTACCAGCAGTTCTAACAGGATAAAGCTCCTTTCCTTTCCAACCCTCCTGACTAATATCCACTACACCCCTACCTCCAGCAGTTTTATTTTCTTCCTTCCATCTTTCTTTTCCTTCCTTCCCTCCATCTTTCCTTCATTCCCTCCACTTCTCCTTTCTTCCCTCCTTTTCTCCCTCTCTCCTTCCTTTCTTTCCTTCTCCTCCTGCACCCCTTTTCTTTCTTCGTGACTTGGATAGGTGGAACATTGTGTGAAATCCTGTTCTGAGTGCTTTTTGCATATTATTTTATCCAATCTTTATAATCACCCAACAAGGCACTTCAACACTTTCCCCATTTTATGGATAAGGAAACCCAGAGACAGAGTTTAAATGATATCTATGTCCAAGGTGCCAGAGATTAAAGCCCAGGTCTGACTCCAGAGTCTATGCTTTGAATAATTCCACTGCATTTGCCTCTCCTAAGGAAGCCACCTCTCCGTGTCTAAAATCTTCCTTCACTGAGTAGCAAGTCCACCTACTTTACTGTGTTCCTCACTGAACTGGCTCAGAAGACAGGAAAGGAAGGCAAGAAGAGACTACTTGAAGTTTTGCTTCAGGGACAGGGTGGGCAGCTTGGTGTTAGAGCACGTCCTGAACTGCAGGAGGCCCTGGGGTTTGTCCCCAGCACTATGGGGAAAAAAAGCTTCAAAAAGGGTATGGGTTTTGGAGAGAAATCCTGACTTCTGCAAAGCAGAGGGTAAGAAGGAGTTGATGCTCAAAGACGAACTTCAAATCAGCCAAAATTAAATGTCAGCTGTGTGTATCCAGTCACTGCAGGGAATTGACTCGATTCCCGCCCAATTAAAGCACCTGAGAAAGCAAGACTGCATGTTCTATGTCAATAGACTCCTTTCAAGAAAGGACTGCTCACAGGCAGGGGCGGCTTCATGAATGAAGTTGTGGAAGAGAATGGTAGGGACACGGAGCAAAGGAGGAGCACAAAACCGAAGACCAAACAGGTGAGGCAGACCTGAGCTACACTCTGATTCTGCCGAAGAAGAAGGCATCTGGAGAGTGTTTTATAAATACGGTGAGCCTTTGTAACCCCAAGTGTAAAATGGAAATGAGAGACCTGTACTGAGCTAGTTCTGAAAAGTACAGAAGTCATCTGGTATCATGTATGTCGCTTGAAACCCATTTCACCAACTATTATTACTACATTCTGTTTCTAAAGAGAGATGGCACTTTTCCGGCTGCAGTGCTTTAGTGTTCCAGGCTATTCATGCAGATGCAATGCGGCTGCATAATCACCTACTAAGAAGATGAAGCAAGCAGGTAGGAGTCCCCACCCCTTTCACATAGGCTACTCTGACTGCATGCTGCCTTTTAACTGAATTCAACATCCATTGATTACCCAGATGGCCGGCACCCCCAATAGGTTCCAGACAGGCCGTACAGCCTCAGTCCTGGAAGCTGCAGAGCCCTGCGACTTCCTTTCCAGCTGGCTCTACCTCCCTGATTCCTTTCACTCAGAATCTAGTGGGACTCTGGCAGAGTAAGAATTAGAGAAATTTGAGACTCTCTTGGAACTGAACCTCACTTTGGTTCCCCAGTATGCCCATGTGGTCTCATGTCTGCACAGGTCCTCTAGGTCAGGAACAGTCAAGGATCTCCAAGGATCTAGTGGTGCCCAATTCTTCTACCCACTGCCTCCCTCTGGAGCCACACTTTTGCAAGGTCCACCTACAGCTACTTTCCTGAATTCCCATTGTCACTAGGAACCTCCCCAATCTCCTGTACTCTGCAACTGCCAGTTGCAAGACTCCGTACACTATTTCTACCCCTGCTTCCTTGGGTAGCACACAGCAGGTTGTTGTCATGTAAGACCATCCTGTGCCTTCAGGGGAGAACAGGTTGCCTATTGTCAATAGCTTCCCTAATGAGGACTTTGCATGTACAGTCTGTGGATGAAGAGACACACACAGGCTCTAAAGACAGCAGACTGAGCCAAGTGTTGTGGTACATGCCTGTAATCCCAGCACTCTGAAGGCTGAGGTAGAAAGATCAAGAGTTCAAGGCTAGCCTGGGTTACACAGTGAGACTCTATCTTGGGAAACAAAAGTGGGGGAGGAGGAGCTGGAGTGTAGCTCAAGTTGAAGAGCACGGATAACAAGCTCAAGGCCCTGTGCTCAAACTTCAGTACCACCAAACTTTTTTTTTAAATGCAGACTGATAGCCAAAAAGGATTTCAACATCCCCAGATACCTGTGAGGTCTGTAAAGTTCAGTTCTAGGAGCATCTGAATTTGGACTTGAGTGTGGGAAATTCCCTTACTAAGTCCCCATCTCATCTTATGCACCATCGTACTTGACAGTAACCATTCCCTAGTGGAAAGAGGGATACGTCAAAAATACATGTTCTTCTAATCAGTGATAATAACACAGACATGCTTCGAGTCACCATCAAGGTCAAAAGGAGGAGAGAAAGGGCCTAAGAAGTACAGGCTCAAGGAAGCATGAGCGCAAGGAATCTGACCAGAAAGGCACAGTCCCTCCTCTGAGTCAAGTCCTGCAGGACTGCAGCTCAGTAACCAGAAATCTGAGAAACATCCGAGCTCCACTCTCCTCATCCTTAATATAGTCTTTCTTTTCTCCACCAGAAATTATTTTATAGGCTCATCTCAGGAGCCAATGCATGGTAATAGGAAGAGGGTGATTTGCCCAGTGTGCTCTCAACCTTGTCAGCATGGATGCAGCAAGTCAGCCACAAGACATGAGACTCCTGTTGCTTCCTCTAGGAAGACTTTTTTTTTTTTTTTTTTTTTGTGGTACTAGGGTTTGAACTCAGGGCTTACACCTCAAGCCACTCCACCAGCCCTTTTTTGTGATAGGGTTTTTTGGAGATAGAGTCTCACAAACTATTTGCTCAGGCTGGCTTTGAACCACAATCCTCCTGAGCTCTGCCTCCTGAGCAGCTGGGATTATAGCCAGAGCTGCTAGCACCTGTCTGGAAGAAGGCTCTTCACCAGAGCCCTGGAAGGGTAGCAAGTAAAAGATTTAACAGGGCAAATGGAAGCTTTGATCAGAAAAGAATAAACAGAGACGATTACCCAGACTTGACCAGACACTCATGGGTCTTGAGAACATCCTTGAGAAATATAGTGCGTAGGGGTTCTCGGTCCTGGTAAGAAAGCAGAGGACAGGTAGGTGAGGCCACACAAATCCAACAAGGAGACCAGCTGACCAATATCCCTCTCTTGCAGATGCCTAGTTAAACACAGGTTGGCAAACAGCCTGGTCTCAAATTAGTTGTAAAGACTTAGCAAATGCAAGGCCCTGAGTTCAAACCTCATTACCACAGTAATAATAATAATCATTGAGAGAAAAAAAAAGAGGTCAGGTGCAGTAGCTCATGCCCTATAATCCTAGCTACTCAGGAGGTGGAAATAAGGAGGATCATAGTTCCAGGCCAGCCCAGACAATCTCAACCAATAAAAAGTTGGAAGTGGTGGTACATGCCTGTCATCCCAGCCACATAGGAGTCATAAATAGGAGGATGGTGCTCCATGCCTGGCCAGGCATAAACGTAAGACCCTATTCAAAATGGTAGAGCTCTTGCCTAGCAAGCATAAAGCCCTGAGTTCAAGCCCCAGTACCACCAAAAGAGAGAGAGAATCTAAGATATTCTGTGGCTCTGAACACACAGCTCTCACTGCACAGTCATTGCTTGGGTCATTAAGGCCACTTGAGTGTCATTGCAAAGAGGCACACCTGGGATGGATGGAGATAAAGACTGAGGAACCCAGTCTCTACTCACACATACTCTCTTGTGAGCGTCTATGCGCCTCTTAGCTTCTTGACCTCTCAGAAGGGCTCCAAAGCTACCACCCACCTGTTCACACTTGAAGTAGCAGATGGTAAAGTCATCAAGTGCAAAGAAGCGACGTTTCCAGCTCTTCCTCTGAAATGAAAAATAAAGAGCTGGACGTTAGGGAGAGGTCCTCAGCATCGCGGAGCGTGTTCTGAAGCTAAACTCCCAGGACCCAGCCCCATGGAAGCCAGGCTCCCACATTCGGCAGGAGCAATGGCTTCTTCATACCAAAACAATACCTCTGACAGGTGGGACCCAATGATTGGTCCCCACATTTCACACACTTGAGAGATGGCAAACACAAAGGACGGTAGCTCTTCCTCTCTCTCTCTCCCCCTTCTAATGTGTCCATGCCTGTCCATGACAAGTCAGCAGAACCCAATCTAGCCCCTGTCTGGCACTCACCACATTTCCTTGCTTCACACAGTAGCCGCTCTTAATGAGGGGGGGTCCGGTGGAAGCACGGCAGCCTGACGTGGGGATGTAACTTTGAGACCTTCGGAGGATGGCATGGGACCCTGGCTCACTCCCCTCCTGCCCATCCCCGCCGTTCTACAAGGAAACAGCATTGGGGTTAGTACCTCCCTCACCCCTCTGTGTAGCCACAGCTCTCTTCCCACTGGATCTCTGGCCTCTTGACATTGTCAGACCAAAAAAAACCAAAAAACTGACTTTGCTCTGGGCTAGGCACTCCACAGGGTGCTTTCACAGAATAAGAATCTGAAAGACCCAGGAGAGACAGGGAAAGACAGAGAACACAGACCAGAAGAGGGTATGAGTACACACGTGGAAGGAAGAACAGTAGGCTTGTTCTTAAGCCACATTTACCATAGGTTTTACAAGTGCTCACCTCCCAGATCTTGGGCAGAAGCCCACAGACCGCACAGTGTGACAATACAGTTGCCTCAGCTTCTGCACTGCCATTACTCACACCCCCGGAACTGTATTTTCTTGATGGCCCCTTCTTACCAGCTCCCCTCACATTTACTGTGTACATAGCACTGAAACACCACGGACACTTCTATGCCCCAGCCATACCCAGTACCTGGCTGATGGGTGTGTGCACCACCACTCCTCCGATGATCTCTGTCTTATAGGCCACCTGCAGCTTCTTCTCTAGGGCCAGAGGAGCTGGTAGGCTTTTGAGAACTTCAGTAGCCAGGGGTAGGGTCCCAGCTTTGGGTACCTAGGAAGAATGGCAGTATGATCAATGGAACAGAAGTCTCAGAAAAAGTGGAGAGCCAGAGCAAGATAGCAGTGGAAGGAAAAGCTAATGTACAAAACTATAGTAAGACTTTCCTTTCTTCCCTAGCCCTTCCTCCCATTCAACCATACCTGACTATGAGGAAATCAGTCAGCAACCTCCTCTACTCTCTCTCCAAATTTACTGAGCACCTACTGTGAGCCAGCCTTTCCATGGAGAAACCAAATATTAAACATCAAACAAAACAGACGTTAGAGTCTTACCTGACAGGACCTAATGAGTAACACCAAACACAAAATGTGTAACAAAACAATCAGAATACTCAAAGATGGCAGTGAGTGCCTCAAACAAGTGGGAGCTAAGCAGAGGACAGCAGAAGAACTACTGGAAATGAAGTGGTCAGGGGTCTCCAGCGGAGATGTTGAGACCACAACCTGGATAGTAAAAAGGAACCTGGAATGTAAAGATGGGAAGAGAGTCTGCTGGGCAAGTGGAACAGGTAAAAATGCATATGGGAGGGCTGGGAATGTGGTTCAGTGATGGAGAGCTTGCCTAGCATGTGCAAGTCCCTGGGTTCTAACCCTAGCACCCCCCAAAAAAAATGCATATGGTACAGGTTGACCACACCTACTCTGAAGCCCACACCCCTGGAGGCATGGCTCAATGGGTAGAGCACTGTCTAGCAGGCACAGGCTCTGAGATCAAGCCCCAGTACCACCAAAAAAGAAAAAGAAAATGCTGCCAAAATGCAGGCACACAAAAAATACGGAATCAAATTACCTTCAGGCTTCGTGTATAAGGTGTACGTGAAACATTAACAAAGTTCATGTCTAGACTTGAGGCCCATCTCCCCAAGACTTTTCATTGTATATATACAAACCTATTTTTTTTTTTTTGGTAGGACTGATGTTTGAACTCAGGGCTTTGCACTTACAAAGCAGGCGCTCTACCACTTGAGCCACACCTCCAGTCCTATATATGCAAATCTAAAACCTGAAATCTGAAACACTTCTGGTCCCAAGCATTTTGGGTATGGGAGATACTTAACCTGTAATGAAGTATAGAATAAAGGGTGCAGAAGGCCTGAGGTATATAACTCTTGACTGCTGCTATCTACCAGAGTGATGTTTGGCAAATCACCGAACCTCTACTGGCCTTAACCACCTGTGTGAATCAGCTTTCCCTCACTGTGACGAAACACCTGAAATAACCAACTCAATAAGGGAAAATGGTTTCTTTGGCTCATGGTTTCAGAGGTTGCGGTACACTGTCACTTAACCCTGTCGCTTTGGGCTTGTGGTGACACAGTACATCAGGGTGGGGTGTGTGGCAGAGGAAGCAGCCCACCTCATGGTGGCCAGAAAGTAAAAAAAAAGAGAGAGAGAAAGAGAGAGAACTGGAAGGGGTCAGGATCCCAATATCCCCTTCAATGTCCTAATCTTTCCACCAGGCCCCATCTCTTAAAGGTTTCACCACTTCCCGGTAGTGCCACAGGCTGGAACCAAGCATTGAACACATGAGCCTCTGAGGCATATTCAAGATTCAATTTATAACATCTTCTTGTGTGTAAAATGGAAAAAGGAGTAACATCTGTGTCATATTTGTAGTTATCAAATGATAGCACACAGACATTTAAACACTCTAGGAACAATCACACACATATCCATATTCTTATTCTATTTAACATTTCACAAATGGTTCTATTGTTTTCAGACAGAGCTCATTTTGGAGAATGAGCTATCAGCTAGATGCTCGCGGCTCACACGTATAATTCTAGCTACTTGGGAGGCTGAGATCAGGAGAATCATGATTTGAGGCCAGTCCAGGCAAATAGTTTGCGAGACCCCATCTCCAAAACAACCACAGCACAAATGGACTGAAGATATGGTTCAAATGGTAAAATGTCTGCTTTGTAAGTGAAAACCCTGAGTTCAAACCCCAGTGCCACAAAAAAAAAAGAAAGAGCTACCTTTGTTCCTCCTTGAGTTATAGTCCTACAGCTGAGCAAATTATCAGAGCATGTTTACAATTAGCTGGGAACCACAGGCAGACTCTGCTCCACTATGCTGTATTTGTCCTGTGCAGTGTGTTTTTCAATCTACATTTCAAATTTCACATAAAATCTAGATTTCCAGTTAAGCAGTATTCCATCATTAAACAGGAAACATGTTCTTCAGTGTACCACACCCCACCATTCTCCCCCATATTCTCATTTCTCTTGTCAAATTTCTTTGACCTTGCTCATTTCATTTAAACTAAAATCTGTAATTCTGATGATATCTCTCATTTTAAGAGGAAAAAAAGAGACCCAAAGCCATGATTAATAACTGAACAGAGACTAGACTCTGGCTCCCAGCTGGTTCACAAGAACACACCACCCTGTGTCTGTGTCCTAGGAAGGTAAGTATAGATCTCATGAGAAAAGCTAAAGTCCTCTTCCTCTTCTTCTCTTGCCCGGGGAGTCAGAAAGACTCAAGAACCAAGCCCTCAGAGCTCAAGAGCTCAGAGTTCTGGTTCACACCTGTAATCCCAGCACTCTAAAAGTTGAGACAAGAGAGTCACATGTTCCAGGCCAGCCAGGCTACCCAGTGAGAACTTGTCTCTGCACCCTCCTCCCCCCAAAAAAGAGCTCTGTCAAAGAAAGGGAAGAAAGACCACATGATTTGGTATCCCCTGTGTGTGAAGTATGAAGACGCCTGTGATTACCTTAGGTCCCCAGGGAGAAGAAGAGACCCTCCCTTCTAGCTGCCTACTCAGTATACATATGTAAGGACAACCTCTGCCACCATCTCTGTAAAGCAAGACAAAAAACTCCCCTCTCCTTTCATTCTGGTGGTCTGAGAGACACAGCAGTTAGCATTTCTTTGGGCCGGTTCAGGGCTAGCCAGGTGCTCAGCAATTGCCCACATTACCTCTGATCTCCAAGTCATCTTAACAAGTAGGCACAGTTTTCTCCATTTTACAAATGAGGCAAACTAAAACTCATTAAAATTGAGTACTTTGCTCCTAGGACACCCAACTCTTCTTTTGCTATCACTACCTACCCATGCCCCTTTCTAATTTTCTGTGTCTTTTACTTTTGTGGGACCACATTTTTTAGAGATGTTGATTTTTTTGCTGGGGTATGTAGTGATATCGTCAGCAGGGAACAGCAGAAATTTCCCCAAATGAATTCCTGGAACTGAGCAACGAAGAAAGGAAGTAAGTTTTTAAGAGTTCCCAGTGGCTAGAAAAGAACTTACAGGAGCCTGGCTTGTGTTTCCTCTCAGAATCTTGTCAGCATACCCAGAGGCCACTGGTTGTCACACTTATGTCCCTGTATCTTGGACTGCTCTGTTGAAACAAGCAGATCCTTCAAAGCTGCTTCCACTCCCTTAGCCATGAAGCCAGGCTGTGGAAAACAGCCCCAGTTGCAAACGAGCTACACAACATGAAGACAGGTCATTCCTATCCCGGAGGCCCTAATTAAACACGTGCCCCCTTCGTGGAGTGTACTCAGATAAGGGAGTTCTGCATGCATCTCATCTGCATCATAAAATGAAGGTTTGCTAGGACCCATCTTCCTCACCATTGGCCAGGGGAAGACTACAATGAGGAATGATCCAATTTAGTGACAAAGCTATGCATTTACTTCAGTTTCCAACTTTTGGGGGAAATGGAGTCAGCTGAAAAAAAACATCGACCCCTAACCTCAGAGTGAGATCTTATCGGAAAATAAGAGTTTTTGAAGATGTAATTAGTTAAATTAAGATGAAGTCACACTGCTTTAGGGTGGGCCCTACATCCAATGACTGGTGTCCTCAACAGAAGATAAGAGGACACACAGAGCACAGACACACAGGGTGAAAGGTCAATGAAGACAGAGGCAGGCATGGAGTGATGCAGCTAAAAGCCAAGGAAATTGGGTTGCTGGAGGCACCAGAAGTTGAGGGCGGTGAGGCAAAGAGGGTAGGGCACCCTGAGCTCTGGAGAAAGGGGGAAGGACCCTCCCCAAGAGCCTTGAGAGGAAGTCAGCTGTCCCTGATGTCAGACTTCCATCTCCAGAACTGTGAGAGAACACACTTCCATTGTTTTAAGCCACCCCAATTTGTTACAGCCACCCTAGAAAACTAACGTAGGAATATTAACATTCTGAGAGCTCACCTCTGCAAACAGCACTTAGTGAACGTTCTCTTTAGTCACAGGAACTGAGTGATGTCAGCATAAAACGAACAGCAATCTTTGGGCAGAAAACTAGACCTATCCTGGTTCCATGACCTTGAACAAATATTTTAATCTCTAGGCATTTAATTTGCTCATTTATAAATGGGGATAATAACACTTAACCTTCTTACTTAAAGTTTTATGAGGCTAAAATGAAGCTCCATGTGTAAAAGGTATGTAACTTAAAAATTTTATAACTAAATAAGCGTATTTTTAACATTTTTATAAACCGTAAACTTCCAGGTTTTGGAAGTCAGGGGATCTTTGTTAGAATCTAACTCTACCAAGTTCTACCCTCTTGACATCAGTCAAGACGCCATCCGCCATATTTCGCATCCAAAAATTGGCAGAAAAACAACCTGTCCCTCCAGAGTGCTATAAGGGCAGAGTACAGCATGTGGGAAGTGCAGAAGCTTTTCTCACTAAGTTATCTGGCCCTGTTTGCATTTCTGTATCCTCCAAAGTGCCTGGTACCTCACTTTGCACAACAGGGGTCTTAAATATGTGAGCTTCTTTGTGTGGTATCACAACCCCACATCTGCCCAACTCATCCCAGCCCCCAGAAGAGGGTACACAATGCAGGATGCTGTAGAAAGAGAAGAAAGCAGTAAGCCCTTCAGGACACAAAACGATAAAGAGGAAACAGAGTACCCCTCATCTCCCCTCTAGTTCTGCAGGGCCGGTGGGCGGAGGAGTGAAGAGTTACAATCATCCCTCAGTGTCCATCCACAGAGGTTCCGGGCTCCACCAAGATACCAAAATCTGTGGCTGTTCAAGTCCCTTATTTAAAATGGTACAGAACTTGCATATAACCTATGCATATCTTCCTGTGTACTTCAAACTATCTCTAGATGACGTGTAATATCTAACGCAATGTGAACACTATGGAAATAGTTATTACACTGTATTGTTTAGGAATTAATGACGGGAAAAAAGTCTGCACATGTTCAGTAAAGATGCAATTTTTTCAAATATTTTTTAATCCACATCTGGTTGATATACAGATGCAGAATCTGCAGACACATAAGGCTCACTGTGTAACCAAGCAAAAGAAAGTAAGGAGGGTCTTGGGGTCTGTGGAGACTGAAGGAGGCTGTGAGATTCCAGCAGGCCTTGGACTTTCAACCTCTGGGCCCCATCGTGCTTCCTCCCACTCCTGCACTCTACAACTTCCGCTCTGTGGGGCCAGAGAGCCTGGGAAACCATATGCTAACACTCAGGCACAAAGCAAAGACAAAGAGCTGCAATTTATGACAAATGGTAAAGCTGTGTGCTTTGTGTGCATGAGGCCCTGGATTCAATCTTAAGCAACAAATAAACAAGTGTAATAAAGTAAAGTAATAAATATCCAAAAAAGGAGCTAGGGTGTAACTCAGTGGTAGCATGCTTGCCTAGCATGGCAAGGTCCTGAGTTCACTCTGCAGAGGAAGGAAAGGAGAAAGAAAGAGGGAGAAGGAGGAAGGGAGGTCCTTACTGCCTTGCAAGCAGTCTAACCCAGTCAACCAGCCAAGAACAGAGCCAGAGCCAGGTGTGCTGGCCCACACCTGTAGTCCTAGCACTAGGGAGGCTGAAGCAGGAGAATCACGAGTCCATGTAGCCTGGGCTACACAGCTGGTTGAAGGCCAGTCTGACCCTGTCTCAGGGAAAACAAGCAAACAAAGATGCAGAAACCTAGGAGGAAACTCTGAACAAGAGTCAAGTATTATACATCAACAGAAACCCCCAACTCCAGAACACAGAAAAGGGTAAAGACCCCTCCTCAACATGAACAAAGATGGCAGCCAGGCTCAGCACCCCAGAGTATAGTGCAAGTTGGTGGCAAGCTTCCTTCCTCCCACCCTGCTTTATTCTTTACTTTCATGGGTTCACTGAGATTTATCTAGCAGAATAAGAACCTACTCAGTTACACTGCCTAAATCACTAAATTTTCCTCTGGCTGAGTCCAGCAACACAAATGCTGGATGCATGTTCAGACATCATTTATTAATTTATTCACAGAAATGCTGTGGGATCTGGGGGAAAACTTTGCCAGCTCACAGATTTATTATTCAAACACTTAAATGCAAGTGTTTCTGAATGTATAACAGAAATTTAAACTTTTCAGCAAACGAATCATAGTTTATAAGTTGAGCGCCTGCCTGTCTTACTGGTTAAAGGTTAGTTTCTTTTTTTTCTAAAACATATAGTTTTTGCTGTGATTGGATTAAGCATCCCCCAAAGGTCCAGGCGTACCAGCCTGTAGAACTACTGGGAGGTAGTGGAACATTTAAGAGGTGGGGCCTAGTGGGAGGAAGTTAAGTCACTGGGCGTATGTCTCTAAGGGAATATTAGAACCTTGACCTCTTCCTATCTCCCCCTTTGCATCCCTGTGGCAATGATGTAAGCAGACCTCCTCCTACAGGCCAAAAGCAACAGAGATAATCCATCATGGTCTGAAACTTCTAAAACCATGATACAAAATAAACCTTTCCTCTTTATAAGTTGATTATCTCAGGCATTTTGTCAACAGTAATAGAAAGCTGACTAACACAATTTTCCCTCTCACTCCTCTCCCTTTCTCTTCTCTTTTTTTAAAATCTAGTAAAGCATTTAAATAAAAGACTTTTGCAGTGCAGACTAAGAAGAGTACAGGAAAAAGTACAAGCCAGGAAAAATTTCTAACTTCCCTTCTCATATGCTTTTCCCTTACTCTATTTCTCATAGTCAGCAATCCATTTTCCAGTCCTACCGCATTCTGAATCAGCATCCCCGAATCACCCAGACCATGACTGACCAGGAGCCCTCCCAGGAAGCACAAACAGGACACTCCATAAACTTCCCTCTTGAATGCAATTCAAACTCAAACTCTGGGGTTAACTTCTGGTTTGTCTGCCAAGGCACAAGAGGAGGTTGGAGAGAGCTGGACCCAAATCAGACTCTTGGGCAAGTCCCTGCTGCCATCTGAATCTTCCCCACCCATGCAGGCCACATGTTGGGAAGGGGCACTTTTACTACCAGAAAGGGAAAGAAGCCATACGTACAGTGATCTTGCTGGCTTGGTTCAGGGCTTCAACCCAGTCCTTCAGATCTTTCTGGTCGTTGGCTTGAAGAAAATACCTCTGAGACAGGGCGTTGATAACTGTGAAAGTCACAAGGAAGGAGGGAGAAATTCTCAGGTCAGAACACACAGTAAGACTCCACAAGGAAAGTGTCCGAGGTGGCAAGAGGAATGAAACCCACAAAATCAATCAAGAAATTCCCTATGATGTTGGGCTGCTTGCATATTTAGGAAGCAGCAGTGTCCAACAGCTCTCTCTTTTCCCTATCTTTAAAAGTGTGGATTACTCTCCACAGACCATAAGAACGACCCAGGACAACGTCAGAGCAGCTTACTATGCTGTTCTGCAGTGCTGAGGCTGCTTGTCTGCCAGCAGGAAGACACCCCCTGAACCGCTGCTGATAAACTTACAGTCACACTGAAGTGTGTACAATGTGGACCCAGTGCTGTTTCCACTGGCACCACTGTTTGTGGCTAAAAAATGGAAACCAAGCTTGCCTGAGATCTGTTCCTTACTTTGAGTATCCCATTAAGTCAAAGGTTTAATTCTGGGTTCATTATTATTATTATATGCACTTTTAGATCACTGACCACAAAATCTGAGTCATTTTTGAGCTAAATAATGATATTTTAAAGAAACAGGAGAAGAGAATCAATCTGAAATTGGAAAAATGACAACTGAGGGACTATTTTATCCTTCTAGCAGAAGCCTGAACCATAGGAAGGGAACACAATAGAGTAGACATAAGATTCACTATTCATTCAACAAGGATGTATTGAGTATCTGTATGTACCTTCCTGATGATGACATCAGAACCACCCCTGGATACACCCAGAAACCTGTGTTCATATTACTCACAGCACCCAGTCTGGTGCTGGAAACACAGTGGGGGCCAAGTAACAACACCATGACTGATTCACTGAATTCACTGACAATTCAATGACTTGAGGCATTCACTGAGTTACTCTGCTTCAAGCATCATTCCCAATACTGTCACGCATTTGGTGACACCAAGCCCCTCAACGGAATGTTCCTCCCTTCCTATTATTCCCCTCCTGGCCCTGCCTCCCCTCTCGCCAGACTCCACCTTTCCTGAAGACATCATTATTCAGTCCTAAAACGGGAGTTCCCAGAAACTTCCACTAATTATTTAAAGTCTACCCTGTAGCATCGAGAAAACTGAAATGTTGTTGCTGGTTCATATTCATGTGTCCTTTTGCTATTACCAGCCTTTGCAACAATACCAAGAACAGTGGTATCCCTTGACACCCACGAACATGGCTGTGATTTATATCACTCAAAGCAGTGTATATATCACATGTGATCACAGGACTGTCTCTGTGCAAAGAGGAAGTTGCTACAGGAATATGAAGAAAATCCATCCCCAGTTCAGTACTTACCAAAGCAAAATGGAGTTTTGGGTTTCTGCTTTGGAGTAGCTATGCTCACCTACATCAAATAAAAAATAAGAGACATGAATGTGCTTCTAACAGTGTGAAAATGCTGTACTGTGAAATTTTTCATACATAAAAAAAAAATCAAACAAACGCATATCCTGAAGAATAATAATTGAGAACCTTGTACTCATTACCTTAAGAAGTCAGTATTATTTATACTATTTCTTAGAAACTTTCTGCATGGCCCTCCCTGGTAGAGTCCCACCTCACAGAGATAATCATTATCTTGATATCTGTGTTAATCTGTCTTTGCGGGGGGGGGGGGGGGGGAACACTTTTAAAAAGCCACCTAGTCCTGCCAGGATTCTCTGGCCCACAAGACCTGGCACTAGCAGGATTTTAGTCCTCTGTCAATGACCCACTTTGCATCCTAAACATCTCCAAACTGAAGGTAACTCTGCTACAAATGCAGAGATTCCAACCACAGCACTCAGGAAGAGGAAACAGCATTCAACACACTGACCAATTGTCTTGACATCTACTCTGACCATGAAAATAAGCACTTTCCACACACCCAGAGAGGCTGAAGGAATCAGAGAGCTTACCTATGTACTTCCGGAGAAAGTAGAAGTAGTTAGGCTTCCTGCTGCTTTATTTCATTTGCTTTTACAATCCTACCCCTTGCATGTCCATTCCTGCATATGTGAACCCACACCATGTAAGTTCCCCCAACTTATATTCCACCATATGTCCACGAAGATGAGGTGGTTACCCTTGAGACTGCTTGAACCTCACTGAAGCAGGCCTCCACACCAGACCTGGGATCTCTAAGGAGGCAGTCACCTTCCCATGGGACCTAGCTACATGTTATCATTATCCTCCCTGGATCCTCTCCCCTCAATCTCCTTCCAGCCAAGGACTTTTGTCTTCTTATGCTCATCTCAGGAGTCCACGAATGGTTCCTGTTTTTAACAGACAGTGTACCAGAAACCAACAGCTGAAGCAAAGACTTGAGTCTCCTCATGGCTCACAGTTGCTAAGGTCTAATGATGGCTGACCCACAGCTCAATCTAGGTTTTTGCTCTCGACCCTAAGTTCTCCTTACAGCCCTGCCCAGATTCCTTAGGAACTGATGTAGGACCTGTAAAAGATCAAAAGGGGACAGGACTGGATTTGGAGACAGAGTCTTGTCCCAGCTCTGTGACCTCCATTTTATGTTCTGTCAAGTAAGGGACAATAATACTATGTGCTCATGGAGCTAGCATGGGGATTAAATATAACAGTCAGGCAAGGCATTCACCTGTCCCGCCATGTACAATCTCCCTATTCAAGGAGATACTATTTATAGCTTCTGATATCTCATTTCCTTTAAAAGCCCACTCCACGTATTAACAATGCCATACCTGGGACTGTGGGCAAAATGCTGAAAAGCCCATGAGCAAAAATGTATGGGACCTGAAAAAAATGCCTGGCTTCCAACACAGCAAATGAAGATGGTAGATCCAATGTTAGCAAATATTTTATTAAATGTCTGCATAACCTTATATTAAATTCATTGATAAGTATTAAACTAAACACAGATGTTGTAATATTAAGTCAGCTTCATGAATTTTTCAATTAAGTATTCAAAAGTTTTTCATTGCATGTGAAAATAACTTATAGCTGAAATTGTCTTAATTCACAAGACTCCTTGTGCATACGTAAGATGACTGATTGCCTGGAAATTGGAGCCAATCACAGACTAGATGTACCAGCCAAATCATTTCAAAGCAAAATGCATCCTTTCAAATATTTTACAGCTAAGCTCTGTGTGTGTGTGTGTGTTGTGTGTGTGTGTGTGTGTGTGTGTGTGTGTGTGTGTGTGTGTGTGTGTGTACTCATAAAGAAAGGCTGTTTCTTTTGGCTCCTGGTTCTAGAGGTGCACGGTTGAGGGGCCACATCCCCTGGTAGCCTTCAGGGTGGCACAGTCCCAAGATGGCACAGAGCAAAACATGGTAATAGACAGATAGTGTACATGTGTGTCCAAAACATTCTGTTTAACGAGAGAAGTGAGTGCCTTTTGATGTTTACCGTGATGTAAGGGAGAAACCAGAGAGCCTAAGAAAGCTCTCAAACACATGAAGATTTAGACAAAAGAGAGCCCACATAATCTTGAATCTAGACAGACTACCCCAAACCAGTCATGTCTGCACAACTCGCAGACAACATACAGGACACTAGCACCCATAAAGTCACAGTCCTGGCCCCATGCTATCTTGCTTTCCTGGCTCCAGTCTGAACCACAGTCTTTACTCTGTCTGCATCTGATGTGTTGACTTGCAGTGACTCGCTTCCTGGCTCTGCCCCTCACCATCCATATTCCCACAAGTCGGTCCTCTTGCCCATCATCTCCTGCTTGTCCTGCAGTCGGTTCCTCCACCACCCTGAGCACCACAGAGCTGCCTTCCGTCCTGGCCTCAGCACCCACCTGTCTCATGCTCCCTTCCATCCAGCTTTAGGACGGCACTGAAAAGCTGGGCAGCTGGAGGTCCCCTGTCTTATTCAGAGACTTGCTCTTTCTCCAGGAAGCTCATTTATCACTGCCTAGAGGGCACGCCACTGGTTGACACTTTTCACCCTGCTTGGATTACAAAACATCTGCTTTGACCACAACTCACCAACTAGTAAGTTGTAAGAACACTACCCGTGTGCTTATTATAGGATCCAAAGCTTCCAGAGAGTATGTGGCATTGGCTTGTTTTTCTGTTCACCCAGTCTTCAGTCAGGAGGCACATGCGAGCACATCATGTACATTTACAGTGTGTGTCATGCTTACCATGGAAGGGTATTGGGCAAAACCACTCATTCATGAACTAATGGGATCAGGTCTACTTCTGCCCTGATTGGCTGTGTGGCAAGGGATGAGACCCTCAGTGTCTCTGATCAGCTTTCCAATGAGTAAGGCCAGAGTGAAAATATGAGTCCTTCGCACAGTCACAGCACGGGAGGAAAGTGAAATTCTATCTACCTGTTGCTATGCCCCATTGAGGGAGGGGCCGAGGAGGGAGGCTTTGGCCTCTCCCTGACATCCTGCCCACTGGGAGGCATGAGGGGCGTCCTACCCCTGCCCCCTGCTTGCTGGTGATCATGGCTAGCTGCTGCAACCTTTTGCAGACATGGGGAAAAAACAGAGGACCCGCAGGAAGCAGTGTGGCTGCAGACGGTGGAGGACACCTGACCAGCTGACGCAAGGAAGAGCAAACATCCACCCACCTTGAGGTGGCCACAGATGAGTTGCTGCACAACAGTGGCTGACTGGCAGGTCCAGCGAAAAAGCCAACATTGAAATCAGGTTAAGGATGTGAAAAAGGAGTGGGCATGGTCACCCACCATGTCACCATGTGACGTAGACAGGGCTGCTCCGCAGCTCAACAGAGTCTTAGGAACTTGCTCTTATCAGATCAAACACAGACCACAGAAGGCACAAACTCGTCATGGGCAGGACTGCTAGGGCCAGCCCCACCCTGTCTGCCCTTGGCCGGAAGTGGAGCTGGGGCCCCTCTGGCAGGAGCAGCAACCAACCAAGGTCTAGGAGAGCTGGTTGCTCAGCCTGTGTCTAGGGTGAACGTGTACCTCATCGGGACATCAAGAGCAGGAGATAAACAGCCACTATGCAGGAAATCGGAGGAGCTCTAAGTTGAAGATTCTGGACCAGCCACAGGCAGTCAGGGTATGTACACACATAGACATTTACCTGCAAAATGAGCCCACACTTTTCCCAACAGACTCCCAAAAGGATCTGCAACCCTCTTCCCAAGAAAACAGTTAAGAACCAGTGTTTTAGGAAGCTCCTCTTAATGGTAATGGAGGCAAGGCCCTGGTAAAATGAGACCAGGCTGAGGGTGGGGCAGTGGAGCTGGCTGCCTAGAGACGGCTGGCATGGACGTGAAGGGCCACAAAGCAAAGATAAGTCTTCAATTATCTTCTAGTTTACCCAAGAACTGCTTCTGCTGCCATGACACCCCAGAGGACATCAGTTCAGTTACTTTCATCTGTGGTTTGCCTCTCTGAAGGTCCCTGTCTTCCCAACACTTGCCCTCAGAAGACACCCATGGAAGTGCACCCCTGATGAGAGCTGGACTGGCTTGTGGACAAATGCTTTACTCTGGGAGGGAGGACCTAAGAGTTAACAAGAAACGACCTGGAATGCCAAACCAGACACCAGCACCACTAAATGTTTTGTTTTGTTTGGAAGGTGGGGGGTTCACTCTCTGGCATTGAATCTGACTTGAAGACTGTCACCCATCTGTAACCTGACCCCCGAACAGCTGTGGGTTTTGCAAAAGGCCCATGCAGGCCTGCTTGTCTTAGGCAGGCAGGGCTAGAAGTCCTAAGTGAGGCAGCTTCTCAGGCACAGAATACTAAAAAAAACCTCATCTGGGCTGCATTTATAAATCATGATTCAGCAGGAGATTAGATTCACTCTTCCCTCACCAAAAAAAAAAAAAGAAAAAAAGTCATTCCAAACCATCTCAAACAGGAGAAGGTTTCAGTTTTCATTTTTTACAGGGTTCTCTGCTCCCTCCCTCTCTCAATTCTCTTTCTGGGGAAATGACCTAATGAGTGTACAGTGAGATGAGGACAAGAAGGGAGGGAGGGCAGGCCTAAGCCTTACTGGTCTAGCTTGGGGAGGTACCACATTTCTAACCACAAGGCAAGCACAAATTGCCCGCAGCTGTGCTAGCAAAGCTCTACTTTACAAGGCCCGTCCCCTGTCCCCTGGGCCATTATCTCCTGTCTCTAACTGCTCAGATGCTGCCCAGCACCTCTGCCTTTGCACCAGGCCTATATCTGCCAAGCTCTGCCTACATCCCGCAGGCACAGGTCAGCTTGCCCCTCCAGCCAAAGATGGCTGCTCCTGCCTGGGCCACATACCGCCCTCCTGAGCAGCTGCAACGGGGGCTGAACACGGGGATCCCAAAGCTTGCTATGAGATGAAGCTGGTGGCCACTCAGCTGAGGGCCCCCCACCCCGGTCTCAAGGCCCTGTGGGAGAGAGAGGCTGGGCAAGGAAGCCGTGGGCCCCCAGGAGGCCTGAAGTAAGGGGCAGGACTTCCGGAGCCTCAGAACTGGCTGGGTGCCACCTGGCTCCCCTCACTGTACAGAGAGTTCCTTTTTCTGGGGAGGCTCTAAATCCCCCAGCTTTTTTATCACTGCTGCACCATGGGTCAACAGCAGTGCCTGCCCCTGGGAGGGGTTGCTAAAAGCAGCTGAACTCAGCAGTTAAATGTGGACAGCATTAATCAGCCCCACCCCCAGGTCTCAGCACAGTAGAGAGGCCCCTCTATGCAAACTGGACTAGGGCACAGCCTGCCAGCCGCCTTCCCAACTCTCTAGCAGTTACCTGCTGCTGAATGTGGTCTTGGTCTGTCTGAGAACCTTCTCAGGCATTCTTTGCCTTCCCTGTTGTGGTGTCCTATAGAGGGGATGGATAAAATTCCAAAATCCCAGCTCTTTTGGACCTGCAGCTGTTTCATTATAAGCTTTGAGAGAATCCTTCCCAGTTGCTGGATTTGGAGTTGTCATCTTTGTGCTCCTTTTTGTCCCAGTTACAGAAAAGGTTATGCCTCACTCCCCTCAGCTCAAATAGCACCTGCAGCCCTTTTGCAGGAGGTGGGAGCACCTGGGGACTGCTACAGTTTGGATCTGGAATGTCTCCCAAAGGCCCCAGTGTTAAAGGCTTGACCTCTAGCTTGGGGCTATTGGGAGGTGGTAGAACCTTTAGGAAGTAGGGCCTAGTAGATCTCCTTAGGTGACAGATAGTGAGAATGCCCTCATTGGGATTGTGGGAAGCCAGTCTTTTTCTCCCTCAGTGGGCATTAGGTAAGAGGTTTTGCTCTGCCGTGTTCCTGGACAGTACACCATGATCAGCTGCCGCACCACTGAGCCCAAAGGAACAGGTCAACCAGTTATGACTAGTAAACCTTTTCTCTTTATAAGGTGACTGTCTCAGTTATCTGTTACAGGGATGGAAAGCTTATTAACTGATGTGCCCAAGCAGTAAGAGGCTGTGGGCCCACCCTCATCAGTAGCAAATCTCCATAGGCAATTCATGGAGGAACGGAAGCATTTTAAGGTCCATGAGTGTCCCCAACTGCTAATGCCCCAAGGATGTGACACTTCCTCTTATTTAGATACTAAACCTACTCAGAGAACATGAATTTCCAAAGCTCCAGGCCAACATTACCTTCGAGATGTAGGTTAGCTGCAGGGATCCAACAGCTCCTGCCCCAACTGCCAGGTTCTGAAAGACAAATGCTCATTTTAAGGATGCTGTGAGCAGTGAAGACAGTGCTGAGAGATCGACAGCCAGGATTCCAGTGCAGTCTATGTCACTTTCCCGCCTGGCAGCCTTGCTTACTTTCCCCATCTGTAAAACAGTGGTAATCATTCCTGAATAATAATTCCAGTGGCAATAATTCAGATTTCCTGATGGAAATCTGTAACACAGCATCACCCCAGCCTTACTCAACCATTCAGCCTCAGTTGTCCCTCCTGCAAAAACAGAGACTATCATACAGTTAGTTTCCCTTACTGGAAATGTTTGGAACCAGAAGTGTTTTGGATTTCAGATTTTTTTTCAGATTTTGCAATATTTTCCTACACAATGAGAAATCCAGGGGATGGGACCCATGTCTAAACACAAAATTTCATTTCTATTTCATATATATACTATACACAAAATCTGAAAGTAATTTTATACAGTGTTTTTAGTGTACCTGTGTTTTGACTACAACTCATCACGTGAGGTTAGGTGTGAGATTTTCTACTTGTGCCATGATGTTGGACCCAAGTTTTGGATTTTGAGCGGGGCACAGTGGCTCACCGCCTCCTAATCCTAGCTACTTGGGAGGCTGAGAGCAGGAGGATCGAAGTTTGAGACCAACAAATAGTTCACAAGACCTTCATCTCCAAATTAACCAAAGCAAAATGATCTGGAGGTGTGGCCCAAGCAGTAGGGTGCCTACTTTGTAAGCAGGAACCCCAGTGCAACCAAAAAACTAGCTAATCATTTGCCTTGAGTTTATAAACTAAAAAATAAATAAATAAAATAAAAAAGTGTTGAATTTTGGAGCATTTTGAATTTTCAGGCACTCAGATTAGGGACACTCCACCTTTAGTACTTACCTCATAAGATGTTGTAGGATGAGACAAAAGTATTTCATAGGACTTAGAAGTGTCTTGGTACACAGAAGACTCTCATCAAGTGTCAGCTGTTACATTTTTTTCGCCCTGACTGCTCTGATCTCATTGATTTTGTCCTGTTTTATGGCATTCCAAAATCCTTTTCATAATTCATACACACAAAACCAAAAAAATAAAATAAAATAAAACCTATTAACCCACCTCACGAACTGTTAGTAGTACCAAATGAAATGATGTCTGTACACTAAAAAGAACCACTAATTCACTGTAATATTAAAACACCAGGAAAGGCTGGGGATGTGATTGAGTGGTGGTGTACTTGCCTAGCATGTATATGCAAGGCCCTGGTGTTCCATCTCCCACACTACAAACAAAAACAAAAATAAAAACAGGAGAAAGCCCACAGGTACCATGTCTGGCAATACATTCTATCTTGGCAAACCCTTCTTGGCTTTCTGATTTCTCCATTGTCAGGGAAGAAGCAATGAAAACCTAGGACAGTAACACACCAAGGTAATGACCAAATTAGAAATCACGAGTGTGGAGTTTCCGATGTCTACATTGGAAAACCCATTCCTGGTGAACCTGAGAATCTGTCTGCACCTTCTGGTGACCTCTAAAACTGCAGCCTCAGAAAAAACCCTTTGAAGCCCCAAATGGGGCTATCTCAAAGCAATAAAAGGAGGTGAATCTTGGAGCAAGAGAATTTAGCAAATTTGTCTAAGGATTAGCAGTAACATGACTTGTCACTCCAGGAGCAACCTTAAGAAAGTGTCTTACATGCACGGGAAGAGTCTTTCTACCTACAGTTATCCAAATTAATGTACATTTTGAAGAAAACGCAATGAGTGAAACTTCCTATTCATAAGAAAATGGACAGAGGTAACATAACAATGAAAGGATTCTCAGAACCCCAGAGTCCTAGTGAAAGACCCAGAAAACACTCTGGACCCATCTCCCTCCTTTGCAAATGAGGCTTGAAATCTAAAACCTGCTTCTAAGTGCTGGATGTATCTCACAAGACCTTGGGTCCAATCCCCATCACAGAAAAACAAAACTAAAAGCTGCCTTTGAATAGCCAAACTAGCACTTTACAAACTTTCAACTTCAGAGTGACTGCTTTTTTTATGAAGGAAGGAAAACTCAACTGGGTTAAAAGAGATATGCTTTGTCACTCCCAAATCAATGTTCTTATTCCCCAAAAGTCAGAAGAGACAGACAAGGTCCTAGAGGGGACTGTGAACCACTCCAGCAAAGACTCAGCTCGGCTTAGTCCTTTGCCATAAACAGGCCCATGTCTGCATGGCCTCATTGTGACAAAGGGCTCAGGGACACACAGAGTCACAGGCCTCTGCCCAAGTGTAAGCATCTGCCCCCACCCTATGGTACAGTCTAGGAAAGTGACTTGTGAGTGTGGGGATTTCCCCAAGATCACTCTATGATCACTCTATGATTGGAAGAAACTGAGGTAACTTCAATAAGAAACTGAAGGAAGTCAGATCCCCTGACTTCCACACCAATACCCTAGAAGCTGCATAGTGTAATTTAAAAAGCTTGAGCTGTTAGAATTCTAGCTGTGACGTGAGCACTCTATGACCAGAGCCAAGGTCTTTTTCCTATAAAATAAGAGACAATAAGCCTGTGTCAGGGTGGTTGGGAGAATTATGTGAGAATACAGAGGGAGAGTCCACATATGGCAGCTCCCGGCCCCTCTACCAGGCTAATTATAAGATGCAAATACCAAGACTCAGAGGACTCAAAGCTCTTGCACAACTGCTCTCCCTCCTTACCCCAAACCACAGCCCCAAGGCCTCCAGCCCTCTCTGAATTATAAGTGATGAAATGGGACTGGGGGAACACACGTAATGGTAGTATAATGACAGATAGAGGCTGATTGGATTTCAACCACTTCATCCCTACCCTCCTCCAGCCAGCTCTCCCTGCTCAGCCCTCCAAGCCTGGTTACCCCAGGGGTGAGGGTGGGGTCCCCACCCCTCTCACCCACACCCACCCACATTCTGCTCCTAGGCTCCAATGCACTCCTTCTTCATCAGCAGAAGCCAGGAAAATATGACGAACGTCTATAAAAGCTGCTTCCCCACCATGGTCCTCCCCACCCAGGGGGAAATGGATGACAGGGGAGAAAACAGCCTCAGGATTCCCAAGGCTTGATCCAAAGTGACACTCAGTGTCCAGTCCAATTACTGGACCTAGAAGATTAATGGTGACAGCTCACTGCTAGGGTGGCACATGGGCAACCCCAGGCAGACACTTCCCAATCAAAGAAGGATATGCCAACATGCCTTAACTGAAGGCCAGGACAGCCAGGTGTCAAGGGAGGAACGCTGGGAATTAGTACCCAGGGAGTGACAGGGTGGCAGCTGGGGAGGGGAACCACGAAAGCTGCCTTCCCTGGCCATGGCTCTGCATCCTCCAGGCAAAGGACCAACTCAGATGCCCCCTCAAGAGTCTTCCTACAATGACTTCCCATCTCCCTGATTCACACATTCAGTCCCTGTGTGCACCAGAATCTCCTGGGGGGGCTTGGTTATAAAAATCCAGGCTCAAACTTCACCCACAAAACGCTGCCATCAGAATCAAGCAGACTGTGGTCTGAAGACCTAGATTTTAAAAAATGCTCCCTAGTGGTCTCTAAATAGGCCCAAATTTAAGAACAGCTGGTTGATGGGACAAAAAATCCAGCCCTGGCTACTGCACTGGTCCACACTGTTCTGTGACTTTAAGTCTCTTCTTCGTACTAGATGGTAAGCAGCTTGAGGACATACTGGGAGAACTAAGGCAAACAGACATGGTGTGAGGACAGAGGCTGGTGGGAGCACACTTCATTGATTTTTATTATTTTATTTTGATGCAGGGAGCTGAACCCAGGTCCTCAAACATGGCAAGCATGAATTTAACCACTGAGCTACAGCCCAACCTCCCCGACCCTGTTTTTAGTAGGAATGTACTTCTGAAAGGCTGTTTCTGTGAATAACCTAGGGAGGGTTTTTAATTATTTTGGGCGTGTAATAATCATGTATATTTGTGGAGTGCAGTGTGATAATTTGTAATAACTGAGCACTATGTGTGATGATCAGATCAATGACAAACATACCACCCCCTAGACATTTATCATTCCTCTGTGTTGAAAACATTCAAAATTCTCTGGACTATTTTGAAATATGCAATTAGCTGTCAACTACAGTCACCCTAAAGTACTATAGAGCCTGCGGGAAATTTTTTTTTTTTTTTTTTTGAGATGAGGTCCCACTATGTTGCCCAGAATATCTTTTTATAGGCACTTTTCAAACCAACAAACACCCATGTTTCATCCCCAGAATTGTAACTGATATGAGCTAGGCCTGGGCACCTGTGTTTTCTCAGAGCTCCTGCGGGAGGCAGGTACTGCAGACGCTGGCTGGTGGTGCTGACTGGGCACAGAGACAAAGCAGCTGGTGGGAGAAGAGGCCACACCCAGCCAGCAGCTCTCAGAGTGACCCAGCTGCTGCACCAGCAGTGCTTAGGGAGGAGGCAGGAAAGATCAGGGAGGGGTAGAAGGGGCAGGGGAGAATGGGAGGGGAGGAGATCCCTGTGCTTGCAGCTTGGACATCAGCCACCCTGCATGAGGAGGTCTGTAAGACAGAGTGACCTGTACATTTCTCAGATTTCTAAACTTTCTAGAAGGGCACAGGGCAGGTTCTTGTTAACTGACTGAGGGCTTTATGAAGGCACTGCCAACATCTTACTTTTTTGCTCAAGAGCTCTTCTGCCACCAAGGACCTAGGAGTGGAAAGTATATGGTTTATTCTTTTTCCATCGCCAAGAAAGTGACTGAGTGCCTATACATAGATTTGGCGTGCCTCCTATAGGAAGCTTTTTTCTAAAAACAGCAGCATTGCTTGTTCAAGTAGAAAAACTTACCAATGTGACCTTTACTCCCTTTCCCCTCTTCTAGAAAAATACCAGAGCACTGAAGTGACCAGAAGACCCAACTACTGATGCATAAATTCACAGACCATCAATCCTGACTGGTTCTGTTGACACATCTTCATCCACCAGGAGTCCTCTCACGGCTCAACTGGGAGAAGGAGCCCAGTG